ACGGAAAGTAGTTTGGTCGTTTGGACGAGGGCGAAGAAGGAGGCGCAACAGTAGCAACGGGCAGCAGCCATGGCAATGATAGTGAAACAGATCGTCGAGGAAGACGCAGCCAGCTACGATAGTGAAGCAGCAGTGGCGACAAGCGAAAAAGAAGAAGCAACGGGCAGCAATGCGACGGGATCTCATGCTCGTTTGAAGAGTTTGAAGATGCAGCCATGGCGAAGTGGTCTTCCTTGGTAGCAGCTGATCGTTTGGAACAAGACGACGATGGTCGTTTGGAGCTGGGTGTTCATGGTGCGACGAAGAAGATGATGGTGGTTCGGGCAGTGGTGAGCGGAGGAGAAGACGAAGCTGAAGGGGAGGTCGTGGTGGTGTGAACGACGTGAAGACGTCGAAGAAGAAGAAGACGCAGCAGTAGAGTGGTCAACTGGCCTTCAATGGCGGACGAGAGAGGGAGGTCAACGAGTTGTGTGTGTATGTGTTGTGTATGTGTGCGTATATGTGCTGTGTGTGTGCGTTGAGGGTGAGGCATCGCTGGACTGGGTGGTGGTGGTTGTGTTGAAGGTGGTGGAGGCGTGGGGGGGGGCAGCCATGGCTGCTAGGGCTTGGAGAGGGGTGGTCTTGGAGAAGAAGGAGAGAAAGAGAGGAAGAAGAAGAGAGGGGGGGCGGGTAGTTTAGGGTTTTTTGGTTTATTTTTTTTTTGTTTTGTTTTATTTTATGAAAAATGAAAGAAAAATGAAAAGGGGGTTTGGGTCTTTTTGGGTTATGGACTGGGTTGACCCAGTTCGAAATGGACTGGGTCGTTTGGGAAGATTGTGTCTTTTTGGGCCTGTGACTTAAAATTGAAGAAAAGGCCCAGTCCGATCTCTTCTATTTTCATCCCTTTCTATTTATTCAATTTCTTAAATAATAACAAAGCTAGAATGCTAAGATTAAATTATAAAACCCAAAAATTATCTGGAAATACTAATTAACTCCTAGTAACAATTAACACACAATTAAATAGCGACTAGTGAAAAAATCACACAATTTGGACATTAAGTGCTAACAATGCAACGTACATTATTGTTATGATTTTTCATTTTGTAAAACACACTTAGTTAAATATTAAATGCAAATACGACATATTTTTATATTTTTTTATTAATTTAACAAATAAACATGCGCAGACAAAAGTACAAATAATTATCCGAAAATGCTATAAAATTCAAAAATTGCACATAAAAGAAAATTGATTTATTTTGAATTTTTGGGAGTAATTCTCATAAAGGGCGAAAATTACGTGCTCACAACTAGCAAGTTTGATATGAAGGACTTGGGAGTTGCGGATTTAATTCTGGGGATTAAGATCCAAAAGACTTCTCAAGGTCTGGCATTGTCACAATCTCATTATATTAAGACAGTACTTGAAAAATTCAAGCACTTAGGGTCCAAGTTGCAAAGACTCCAATTAATGTGAATCTTGCATTAGCAAAGAACAAAGGCCAAAGCATATCACAATTGGATTATGCTCGTGTATTGGGATGCTTAATGTATATCATGAATTGTACACGACCAGACATAGCTTGTGCTATAAGTAAACTGAGTCGATATACGAGCAATCCAGGCCAATCTCATTGGATGGCAATGAAACGAGTTTTGGGATATTTAGAACATACCCAGAACTTTGAATTGCACTACAGTAATTTCCCTGCGGTGATTGAGGGATACTGTGATGCAAATTGGATCACCGGTTCAACTGATTCTAAGTCCACGAGTGGATATGTATTCACTATTGGTGGAGGAGCGGTATCTTGGAAGTCGTCCAAACAAACATGTATTGCCCGCTCTACAATGGAGGCTGAATTCATAGCCTTAGATAAAGCCGGTGAAGAAGCTGAATGGCTCCGGAATTTCTTGGAAGACATTCCATTTTGGCCCAAACCGTTGGCACCAATATGCATACATTGTGATAGTCAAGCGGCAATTGGAAGGGCTGGGAGCGTCATGTATAACGGTAAATCTCGTCATATACGACGAAGACATAAAACCGTTAGGCAACTACTCTCTAGAGGAATTATCACGATTGACTATATAAGATCAAGTGATAATGTGTCGGATATTTGCAAAAGGCTTAACTAGAGAGGTAGTTGAGAAATCATCGAGGGGAATGGGACTATGGCCGAGAATTGTGGCGGTAACTCTACCTAGAAGACTGGAGATCCCAAGATCTAGGTTCAAGGAGATCAAACAAAGTCATTAATGACGATTCAACATTGTCAACAAAAATTTTGGTCCATTCTCGTGATGAGACAATGTTCAGTACCAAGGATAAAGCATTAGGGCTTTTTAATGATTTCTAAATTTGATACGTGGTATATCAAATAGTGTATCTACGCGATGACACGTTTAGAAATCACCTATGTAAGTGTGAAGTGTTAACCGCTTCAAGGAGAATTTTGCAAGGCCAATTCTCTACGCACTTANAGTATATCCGACATAAGTTCACTACGGAAAGTTCAAAGGGAAACCTACTTATCCAGATGCAATTAATCCTTGCTTGCAAATCACACAAGTTTTTCATGCATACTTCCGTGATATAGCCATTCCCCATTCATGTGGGGGATTGTTGAGGATTTTAAGATGGAGAAGTCTTAAAAAAGAGGGTGAATGAGAAATAGAGGGAAAATGAAATTTTTGAGTAAAATTTTAAGTTTCCCTCTCTTGAAACATTGTCCCATATTGGAAGAGGAAAAGGATTTTGGTGGGTATATATACAATTGCTCTTCTTGTAGCTCTTAAACAGTTAAGAAGAAGGCAAGCCTCGCGCCGTCGTCGTCAGCGCTCGCTCGGCTCGGCTGCGGCTACGGCTTCGGATTTGGATTTGGATTTGGATTTGGTCAAATGATCGATTGATTGATTAATTTTTTGGACCAAATATATTTGTTAATAGTGAATATTAACGTAATATTATCCGTGTTTGTAACGGATATTTTCCAATCTGTTGATAGAATCCATGTATCCCACCAGTTCAGCCAAGTGCATGCTCCATTGTTCATTGGCAGCCTAGTGCTCCATGAGCAAGTGCTCTTTCCACCATGTCAAGTGCTTCCTCCATAACTGCCTTGTGATTGTTCCACCATGAGTGGTGGCTGGTCATTCTCCTAATAGCTGACTGCACTATAAATATGTGTAGTAGTTGTTAGAGCAAGGACACACAAAAAAAAAAAACACAAACACAACACTGAAAAACGGAATAAGAGCTGTTAGGAGAAGGCATAGGCAGAAACGAATTGATATCCTCTTCAGTAAGAACTCAACATCGGCTATAAATTGTATTCCTTCCTCTCAGAATTTCCATTCGACTTCTGAGTTCTCCTCCTTTGTTGTGCATTGTTTTAAACTACAAACAAAGCAACCATAAGTGTGATTTGCTGCCGAACTTTGTGTTCGCTGAAACACTGGGGTTTGAAGTACCGCTATACCAGTGTGTAATTCGTTCTATCCTAGGAGGAAATAATCCATAACCTTGGGTACTAGGAGGGGATTAAATTCCTTAAGGAAACACTGTGAATTCAGTGGGATCGAATTAATAACTTTTTCATTTATATTTACATTTAAACGCTAACGTTCTTTTTTCCAGAATTATTATTTACAAATACAGCAAGTAAGAATATTATTTACAAATACAGCAAGTAAGAAGACATGAACCAACACTTGCGGCATAAACTATTAAAGGTTCGTTTAGTTTACTTACATGAATGGCGTTTTCCTTTGTTCTATGAGGAAATTGATCTATATTTCTATTTGTTTATGGTTATACGATATATTAAGTAATCCGAAATTCGTTTGACAAATTATTGAGATATATGCACTTTTTACTTGGAATAAGATCCATTTATTCTATTCATGTAGGCCTTCTTACGTGCTTTAGTTTCACGATTCTTATCCCTAGCTAACTATACCCTAGCTTATATTTCTTCTTTTTTCCTTTTAGAATTTTCTTATTACTAGCTATAATCAAGATAGGATGTGCATATATGTGAAAAACTACAAATCGTACATGTTTATATTCGCTTCATGCACTTCTCTTGTTAAATCTTGATCGTCAATAAAAAAAAGTTATTTTATGTTTCAGGTAAATGACGAGAGACGACGCACAAAGAAGCCTAAATGTAAATGAAGAGTATCTTGGGGCATTAAAAACAAAATCTTATGGTGATTTCTTCACGAAAGCTCAGTTTCTAGTAAATGAACCAACATCTCCTTCTCAAGTTATGCCACAATACATTCTCAGAAATCCTCCTTGAGCCAAGTCAAGAGACAATAATATCCATTCTTGAATCAACTAATTTTCCATCCAAAAAATATGATCTCAAATCTCTTCTTTCCAATTACTTCAATATAAGTGCCGAAGCATCAAAATTCTGCAGCCACATCCTTAAAAGCATTAACCAAGTCCAATCCGACTATGGTTTCGTCGAACAAGTCCTTGACTCGATTGATAATTGTTCCAATGGTGACCAATTTGGTTACCTATTACTCGAGCTTCGATCTTTTATCATCCACAACAACCCTTTTTCCGACCTCAAAAAACAAGATTTTACGCGAATTAATGATGAATATTCATCGGTGTTACAACGTTTGAAATCCAAGAAGAAAAGAGTTGCTAGGAAAATTAAATTGATCAAATGTGTCAATAAGACTTCTGGGGTATGTGTGACGGCAGCTTGTGGACTAGTTGTTGTGGCAGCTTTGGTACTAGCAACACATGCTCTTGCTGCAAGTGTGATGGGGCCAGCAATTTTAAGTAGGACCTTAAAGCCATTAAAGAAGAAAATTATGAATATTCGATTCTTGAAATGTGGATTTCTAAGGAAAGCTGGAGAACAACTTGATGTAGCAGCCAAAGGTACTTATATTTTGAACATGGATTTTGACACAATGAGTAGGCTCGTGGCTCGACTTCATAATGAGATTGATCATAATAAGGCAATGATTCAATTGTGTTTGGATAGAAGGGAAGATAGGTTTTCATTGGAAGTGTTGAAAGAGTTGAAGAAGAGTAATATTGGGTTCAAGAAACCAGTGGAGGAGCTTGAAGAACATGTTTACTTGTGTCTTTTAACGATTAATCGTGCTAGAGCTCTGGTCATTAAGGAAATTGCAAAATCATATGAGAACAAAAATGAAGGTAGTTGCTAAGGAAAGGCTTCTGCTATATAGGATGATCATCTATTCTTTGATTTAATTTGTAAATACTAGCTAGTATGATTTATTCATGTAAATAACTTCTTGAATGAAAAATTGAGACCTTTCTATTTGTTTCTAAGTTCTAAGCCTGATGGCCCTTTTATTAATTATATATATTTAATTAATCATCCGGTATCCGATACTAAGGAGGAGACGCTCCCTATCGGGAATTTTTTTATTCCTAAAGCTCGAATACGATATATCCAATTAATGGTAGAGAGATTTTGTCCATATCACCATATTCCATGATAGTATGAGCAGATGAGCCTCATGCATGAGCGCTTCAAAAGAAGGGATCAAGCTCTCATTACACTACTAGAAATTCGGCCAAATCGACTGCGGCCAACCGACCAACTTCGACCGGTCAAAAAACCGACCTCTGAAAATTCCTCAAAATCTCGCCTCAATCCGAGCTCTCAAGTCCAACTGGTGAAAAATGACATAAACTCTTAATTTTAAAATTTAAGTTATGTTGCCCAGGTGTTTACACTACGTGATCGCGGAAATTCACATGCGATCGCGTAGAAGAAAATAAGCTGCCCCCACGAAATGACCATCGCGAAAGCGGTTGGCATCACGCGAACGCGGATAAACAAATACCTAGGCCTACGCGATTGCGAACACGCCCAGCGATCACGAAGCACAACTATGCGGAACCCTGCTGCCTCATCTCCTTGTACGCGAACACAATCTTATCTATGCGTTCGCGAAATGCAAGCTTCATCACTGCCGCGATCGCGACTATCTCTATGCAAACGCGAAGAGCAATTTCCCCAACTGCCACAACGATCATTTGCGATCGCGATCCTCCTCTTGCGATCGCATATAAGGAAACCAGCACCAGCAAAAATCAGCAGTCATTCAAGTTCCAAAATGCGTCGAACATGGTCCGAATCACCCCGAGGCCCCCGGGACCTCAACCAATTATACCAACAAGTCCTAAAAATATCATACAAACACGCTCGAAGCTTCAAATCACATCAAACAACATTAAAAGTACGAATCGCACCCCAATTCAAGTCTAATAAACTTATAGACTTTTAACTTCCACATCCGATGCCAAAATCAATCAAATCAGGTCCAATTGATCTCAAATTTTTCACACAAGTCCTAAATAATATTACGGGACTATTTCAACTTCCGGAATC